TTCGTGTTGACAACTGTTCGTCTTACCATGGCCCATTTGATGTCCTTTTTCCTCACGCCTGCCGCCGTTTATCTGAGGGGGGAAGGAAGGGCTGGGGGTTAATGTACTTCGTTGACGCAGCACTGCAAGTGTTTTCGCCAATAGCGAAGAAGTCGTCGCTTTCGATGATTTGGACGAATAATGAATGTTTGTGGCGGATTTGGGCAGTAATATGATGTGCTTATATGGTAGTTAGACTACACATTCAATACACAATCGACTTGAGCGCTTCGAATACAAAAATATAATCTAATATAACTATCATAGTACACTGTAACTGTAAATTCCTCGTATGGCAAGAACTCACGGCAAGTTCAGCGTTTTTGTGGAAGTAGAGTTGGGTTGATCTCAGCAAGTCACCAGCGCTTGGCAAGTAACACATTCACTTCCATTCCAATTCGTTTCGCCAAAGAGCCACGCGTTGAACCGAGCAGTGCAAGAATTGATCTGACGATTCTGGGCAGTTCCAGCTGCGGTTTTTGTGCGCAAATTTATGTATACGTAGGCTGTTTGGGCCATTTAGCGTCCAGCTCATTGATGTGAGTCCTTCGACAGAAGGAGCGGCGTGGGATGAACTGGCATTTCGACAAGGCCATGGTGTCCGGAGTGGATGGTGCAGTCAGATTCGCAGTTGCGAGACTTCGCAGAACATCGCACCGGAAATATATCTCTACTGATCTCCAGCAAGCTGATTCAATATAGGACGTGCAAACTAAGCACAGAGGTGATGGTGCATAAACCAACAAAACTGACCTATTTGCGCAAGACAAGGGGTTCCTAAAATCCCACCCCCAAACAATAATCAGCTGAACTTTGCTTGGACTTGAAATGCCGCAGACCGCAGATTTTTTTTTTTAGTGTTCGAACCCTTAGCAAGATAACGTTGCCTTTCTCAAACTACAAAGGTTTGAGCACCAAGAGTTCAGAAAAAAAGAAAACAGAGAAGAAATTTGAGCAACCGATACTGGCAGGGGAGATGACTGAGAGGTCGCTCTACGGAAACCTCAAAACCATGAGGTGCCTGATGTAGGAAACTTGCAGACCTTGCCTCTTAAGGGTTTGGATATGTTGTCCGTTTGCGATAGTTTGTGGTTTCTCTGAACAAGTCCAGGGATCCGGTGATCGGTTCCCAATCAAATGGAACTTACACATATCCCCAGATGGCCGAGGATTTTGGATGATCTTGGTTGTTATTTGTCGTTTGTGCTTGCCTGTTGGTAGGATGAAGACTTACTGGACGACTGTGAGCTTGTGGTGCATCCTCTCATTGGCACAGCAACTTATCTAAGTGATGCAGGACCTGAGAGAGTTCAGTGGGAACGACACCATGGCCGGTACGTCTCAGAATAGGATCAAAGCGACTTTGAAGGAGAAGCAGCTCTTGCAAGAAATTGAAGACAGAGGCAACCGCAAAGATGCCTAGCAATACTGTAGCGCTGAAAACCCACTGGCTGGAGGTCCTAACCCATCTCATCTGCAATTTTGTGCTCTTCCTGCTAGCGTTGGCCGCTTCATTCTCAGAAAATTTATGAAATTCAGAAATCACTTCCATAAAGATATTGACATGCAGTTGGCAGACCAGACCACGCAAAGCCACGTTTCATCGTTCTAGTTTGATCTTCAGGTAGATGGCTTGGTTTTAGGGGGTACGAAGGCTTCATAGGATTTGAATTGCTCTCAGGAGCTCCACTGATGGTTTTCAGTCAACCTACACTTCAGATGAGTGAAGACGGGCCGCTCTATCATGAGCCACGTTTGAGGCAGAAGAAAGGGAGAACCATCGAACATGGACTGACTGCAAGACATAAAAAGGTCATGGCATGTCATGGCACTATAATTGATAGTGATAGCTTGTCATTCTTGCATTGTCTTGGAAGAAAGAAGTGTATTTTATCATACTTTATCCTGGGTACGGCTGCGTTTGGCAAGTCTCACAGGCGGCGGCAAAGTGATGCCTTTGTGGCATTCCCACAGAAGGCCTTGCACGTGGCCTTCAGCCACTCAATTTGATCCTAGCAGGACGTGAAAAGCGTAGCAACACTTTATGGGTAGAGACAATTTATCGATCTGCTCGGACTTCCTTTCAGAATGTCGTGACTCGCCAGGGCCATCATGGCATGTCCCCAACCAAGACACCGGCCATCGAGCGATCTCAGGCGGCCAACTGCTTCATGGTGTTCCTGGCGTGTTGGAGCACAGCCGTGGTGAACGCCTGGCGTTGCTGGTGAATGTTCCTTCACAGGAAAACCATGAAAAACCCTCTTGAAAATTGGATCTAATTACCAATACACCAGTGGCGTGACACACACACACACAAAACGAATTGAGTCCAAGGGATTTGGAGTCCCAGACCCCATCATCATTCTCACGGCTCACATAGTTACCATATTCAGCATGGTGCATGGATGTGCGTTTGCCATCTGCCGGTGGAAAGGTTTGGCTCCATCATCGGCCCATTGGCTTGGAACGCTGCGGAGCAGAGCCCACAGAACGAGGCAGAGTTGACAAGCAGAAGGTTGTAGGCAAATTAAATGTAGGCAAGCCACAGTAGAATAGTTTTCTTCAATACTTCCAGTATCGCTATGGCTCAATCAAGACTCTTTGACACTAACAGTAGGTTTGTGGGCCCTTTTTTTGGAGCCACATGTCCAGAATCCTTTGAGGCTCTATACGGGGGGTTCTCCAGGAACTTCAGCAATCCTAGAAGTAACCATGTCAACATCACAGCATTGTCATCGACATCACCACATTGTCATCGATTAGTCGTGTGATTAAAGTGGGGCGGGGGGTGGGAGGGTATTGACACATCTTGAAACTACACCCTGCCTGGTGAGATGAATACACACTCCATATCACATGCTGCTAGACAGGAACACTTTTTTGCCAAAAAAAAGGCTGACCATCAGAAATACAGCTTGCTTCAAGCCGTGCAAATGTACTGTGGTTTGCAATATATCAAGCACCACATCCAATTTATTGGTGCCAGCAGTATAGTTGAAGGTCTTTTTTCCACATGAAATTCGATATGCAAAACCATGAATCCACACCCTGACTGGGGAGATGAAAACAACCATTTCCAACATCTTGCTTCACTGTGTTCGACTTCGACTTCGTCACGAGGTTTTTTCCGTTTAAAAAAATAATCCGCTTCTCTTAGCACCTTTTTCAATGCATCAACATATGCACACTTTATCAGAAACACAGGCAGGTTCTGCGTTTTCAACTCGTTTGACGTTTGCTTGCACCGTTTCCGCCCGGAGAACCTCCCATATGGAGCCTCATTTGATATCAGACTAACTACACTAGATTATATGTGTGTTGTTTGTTGATGTGTTTTGGCCAAAAGCGGAAAAGGGCTACAGAGGTAGGCCTTGCCCTTCCAATTGCTCTTAAGCTACGCGTAGGTGGCCGCCTGCCCAACAACAGCCCCGGGCGTTCTTTGTGTCACTGAGCTGACAGAGCAGACGGCTTGAAGACGACGCAGACGTGAGGAACAGAAACACGCCGAATAAAAAAGATCGCTGCTCACCAGATTCTACCAGCAGCTTTGCATTATTTATGTGTATATTTGTGTGTATATCTAATACTTTATTTGTCTGGAGTCATTCCTACACGGACTTCGCCAGCCGCATGGGTCACGAACACTGACGAAATGTCGTAGCTGTTTCCGATTCGCCGACGTGAAGCCGACACGAGTCCGACACCTCAGGTTTCCGTCCGAAGCGGGGCAGCGAAACAGTTTCACTTCCCATGCAGCTGGGTGAATGGCAAGTTTCTGGCATCAGGAGCCCTTGAACACTTTGATCATATATTGTAAAGAACGGTAGCTCGAAAACTACCTGAGTTCCTTGCCCCTTTAGCAACACGGCAGGAGTTTTCGAGAAGCATGCATGGTTTCAATTCCGAAGTTTGTTCTTGATGATGGACGGGGGAGACGGTGAGTGGTCAATTCCTTTGGTCGATTCATCTCCGTCATCTATCACCAAGGACCTCACTTTTTTCTCACCTCAGATGTGTTCAAGTCAATCGGAGCAAGCATGGACACAACGGCTGCCAGTCATGAAGAATCGGAGAATGCGACTTAGTCTGACCGTATTTGTGTACTAAAGAAAGGAGGATGAGAGGAAAATAATGACACGGGTCTTGCAATAACTTAGGACATGTGGATTAAAGAAATATGTGGATGTGGAAGGTGACTTGGATTCCCGAAACTGCTGCCACTGCTGCCACCACAACCACCAAGCTAGCAGCTAGACTCTGTTGGACACAGGGTTGGATCTGTGCGATGTCGCACAGAATGGACAATATGGCACACTACAACATATGTGGCCTAATTTGCAAGTTTAGAAAGCATCCCCTATACAGGGCAGGGCCGAGGATTGAGTTGTTTCTGCTTGAGTCGGTTTTCCAGAACAACTTTTGTCAACCGCTTTTTTATTCAGGGTGCATGCAACCCAGTGGGAATTGTTTTAAGGCAAATTCTCAAACGTGTTTGGTTCATTTTGGTTCGTCACTCGGTTTTTCCCTTTTAGGACTCCGCTGCTACGGTCTGGCCTTTGGCATTTGACATGTGAAGTCCAGCTGAAGCGTGGTGTGAAGCGCCGCAGCGATGAGATGGGAAGCCAGAAGACCAAAAGGAGTCCGACTGTCCGACCAAACGTTGAGAAGGGACTCCTTTTTCATATTTGATCATCCGATGACCATGTTTGAAGGTAGAGACAGATAGAGTTTGCCAAATGTGGGTGCTTAAACCATTAGAGAGCCTTGTGGACGTTGCTGTTGCTTCTGCTGCTGCGGTTGCTTCTGCTTTCCTGTGCAATTGGATGTGTTTGAACGACATATGCTGTGAATCGCTGTGCAAGGATCGTATGTAGATCATTCCGTCATATCTCTCTCTCTCTCTCTCCCCCCCCCCATCTCTCTTGCGCACCAACCGCTTCGAACCCTGGCTGGATGGACAGGCAAACTGGAATTCAACTGCAAGGTTACGTCTGTCACCACGGAGGCCCAGTAATTGAGTAGCAATCTTGCGTTTTGCAAGTTTGTTTTTCCCTTAGCCTAAGACCATCTAAGACTTGTACATATAGATACATATAGGAAAAGATGCTCTTTCCACATATGTTTGTCAGATTAGAGCTTGTGGATGCTAGAAGCCTGACTCTTTTTCATGCTATCTCCAACTCGTCCTGGGATGGACATGTTTGCGCCATGAAACCATGTGAACAGAAGGGCGCAAGAGCCATTCGGTGTTGCAAGACCAATTAGATCCAAAAGTAGCTCCCGAGCTATCCACGACCGGAATCAGAATCTATGACCGTCGAGTCCGCGGGAGGCGGATGGCGTTTGGGTGGCATGTGGCGAATCGAAGAGCTTTCGATGTTTGAGGCGGGTTCAGCAGTAACAGGTGCCACGCTAGTAGTAACAAGTGCCTTACTACTAGTAACAAAGAAGCTATGGTTCATCGTTTTAATTGTGAGTGTGATGATTCATGTAAGACGTAAGATTACAGCAAGACAGGTATAGGCAGATCATGCAAGTGATTTTCCCTGTAGCATTCTTACATGTTCCCACTATGTCACATTGTGTCCCTATGTTTCTCATGATTAAGCCAGGTCGGCAAAGCTTGAGAATTGATTGTCGATTAGTATGCTTCTTTCATTCAGTCTTGGCTACATAAACACATATAAACACCATCTCTCCGTGTATGGCCATTCTGTTGTGCGCCGTGTATGGGTATGGGTTTGGTGCATTGGGTATCGGCTTGGTTCTTCTTGCCTGGTATCCAGCCAGCGAAGATTGACCCGCTTTCCAGGGAATTGTCAAAATGCCGGGGTGCAGTAGATCCTTGCCCAGTCACGCCCCAAACTTGGACACTTCCTGGAATGTTGGATTCATACTGACTTTGTTGTATTGTTTGCGACCTGCTGTAGGAGGTCGACGTGGGAAAAAAAACAGGAAGGTTGTGCAGTGACTGTAATGGGGACTTTTTTCCAGATCTAGCTCTAGGCCTCTAGGCCATCTCGCGACAGTCAAGATGACAGGTTTGTGAGCCCCAGGCTTGGTCATGATGTGCCAACTCAGAAACATCCAGACAAATCCTTCGCAGTGACAGGGCAGGCCACGCAACTTTGGCGCCCAAGCGTCTTTTTCCACACGCTGTGGGGCGCCCTTGTGCGGCTGATAGTGTATCAGGACCTACAGTTTAAACCTTCCTCCCTTGGGTGGCTTGGGATACCTCCAGCCTTGTGTGTCAGGACCAACATCCCAGATTGATCCAAACTTTTTGTTGCCACAGCGAAGCTGTGTGCCAAACTTGTTGAAGGCGCTGGTATTCCACGACAAAGCGCTTGAAAGATAACTTTGAATGTAAGGCCTGTGCCCTGAAGAGTTTACTATACTGTGCAGTGCAACCTTGGACTTCGGCAGCGCCTCAATGTTGCAGAGTGTTTGTTTGAAGTAGAACGCCGTTTTGATCTTGTTCTGTAAGGACTTGAAAAGTTTTATCCAGCGGTTTGATTGCTACACATGCTCGGCCCTTTGGCAACAGGTGCGTTTTCGCCACTCCTCCGAAGCAGTTGGGGAACGTCAAATTTGCGCCTGCCCTCCCATCCTCACGAGCTGCATTGCACACATCTGTGTTTATTGGGTGCATTATCAAGGCTGCTTCTCGGCCATTTTATGTTTGCCCCGCCTGGGTCCAAGACTCGATGTTTTTTGGGCCTTTCAGCAAGGCTGTGGTTTTCTGGCTGTGTTTCCAGTATGAGTTGGTCACATCCAAGGTTTTCCGGTATGGGAGGCCTTTTTGGCGGCTAAATGGCTTCAGTGGAGAGGCACGAGACGGGTGGGACCTTGCTTCATCCCCCTTTTTTTGCCAACTGAAAGAGTTGGTTCATTGATAGCATTTAATTAGTTTGTTTGGTAATGGACATGCACACGTGTCTACAGGTAGATTTTATATATATATATGATTATATATAAATGTAGCAACGAACCATTGTTCTTTCCTGATTTCGGGGAAATACCGTGGCACGCTGCACGATGAAGCTGACGCTTTGTTGCTTGGTAAACAGCGCCGCATCCACCATCATGCTGCTGCCATACGCTGCGGCAGCAGCATGAGGGTCCTTCTAGTAGCGTCCCTGCTCCGAGTAGCGATGCCAGGAGCCTAGTAGCTTCTTGTTCCTAATAGTAAGGCCAGGAGCCCCTAGTAGCGTCCCTGCTCCTCCAATGAGACCACTGGCTTGAACACTCCAGCATTTCCGCTCCTTGCACCCCAATGATGTGGCGATACCAGGTAGTTGCTGAAGCAACTGATGATGAGCCTTGTTTCAATTGCTATGATCATTGTGTCGGCCACTTTGTTGCAGATCATGTTGTTTGGGCTGGCACGGACGAGAAGACTTCTTACACTATCCCGCTTGCAGATCTTTTGCATCGGTTCGCAATTTCTTGCAGTCTGGTATTCTGGCATGGTTGAAGGCTTGATGCCCTTCTGCTGTATTGCTAAACTTATTCCCCTTGTAAGGAGAAACAAGATCACGCCCTGACCCAGTGTTGTTGTTGGAGTATTTGTTGCAGTGGTATGTTGTTTTTTCCAGTCATTTGAATCATGTCTGTTTCAGTGTTTGTGGAAAGGTCGTCCTAATCTAGGTTTATACAAAGCCTAAGCCGGGTTGACGTCTCCATGCTTAGTTTCTCTAATCCAGAGCTGTCTCAGAGGTTCCAGGAGCATGCGCACTGCTTCCCCACAATGAATGATAATACCCCTCGCAACACCCCCCCACCCCCACTGGACAGAACTAGAGTCCAACTCTACAACACCGACGCGAGATCCCCAAAGCGACGTGATCAACGCAGAGACACACGCCCACACAGAGTATGCAACATCATCCTCATAGAAACAACATCTACGTACAAAACATGCGCAAAAACACATGGCAGGCGCTTTTTGCAAGGGTGCTGCTTTGCTCAAACAACATACTGTACTGTAAATGATTGTAAATGTATTGTTTCTTACTCACGGGGCGGTTCTTCGTGGGATGAATCACTGAATTGGGTTTGACTGTCAGGTTTTGACGGTTAGGCGGCCCGCCCCTCGCTGGGAACGTGTAAAGGCCACCGAAGGGCTGCGACTATGAGGCCAGGTCACTTTAAACTATAAAACTGGCCACAAGACAGGTTCCTGAAGGGTTTCCTGTTTTGGATTCAGAGTTTGTGTGCCGTAACAACAATGCGAGCCAAGGTGATTGCCACATGTTGGTGTGCTTTCTCAATGGTTCACCTGCGCGTACTTGGAGTTTGCGGACTCAGGCAGACTTCGTTTCTGGTGGAATTGCATTCGACCACCGATTAATCTGCCATCCCGGCATTGGCACCATTTGGCGCCTATGTGAGTTCGAGGTATCGCCAAAGTAACAGGTCATGTGAATTCAGTCCACACTTCAAAAGTATCTCGCCTGAACTTGAATGTTGCCCCCCCCCCAGCCGCCATTGAATCGAATGCAAAGATGTGGAACTCAAAGTGGCTGGAGATTTGGTTGACTGCTCTCGGACAGCGTTTTGTAACCTGCAAACTGCGAGTTGAAACGCCAGGATGAGCGACGTCAAGTTTTGTTGAAGCAGCTGACGAAGTGGTTTGGTCCTGAAGCCAGTCACCCGTTGGAGTACCTCGATGCTTGGCCTCAACGGTGGGATGGCTTCTTGGAGCGTTCTACCCTTTGATTGTGCCAAGAACATGTTAAAGGTAGATACTCACAGACTCACACCATCAATCGTCTAAAGACGGAACACACTAGGAGCTGGTTGGTTCATGCAGAAGCCTCATTTGCTTGGGACTTCAAGCGGGTCTTAATGTTTTGTGTCGCTGCAAGCTCCTGTTCTTCAAATTACGCAATGGAATAATGGTCAATACTGTTTATATAATTGTCGGCTTTTCTCACTTCGGTGTCCACCAAAAGCTCCAAAGTGAAGAAAGAAAAGAAGCACTCTGTGATGCTGACTCGGGAAATGTTGTGCCAAGGAGAAAGATTGGGCTTCTTGTCACGAAAGCTAGCTGTAGCTAGCTGGAGTCTGTCTTGCTTTAGCAAGGAGGGTGGGAGCCGAGGACCTGAGTGCAGATACCTGATTTATCAGGCTTTAACCCCCCCCCCCGCGGGTTCAACTCCACCCGTCTCCTCAGTACCTGCTGCTGCTTGGTCTCTTGCTGCTTGCATGCTTGGTGCTGCTGATTGCCTTTGGCTGCTTGCTGGTTGCTGCTGACGTGTTGGGGCATGAGCGAAGAGTTCGGTGGGGGAAGCGGGTGATGAAGAGTTTGGTGATGCTTGGTGGAAGCATGGCAGTAGTTGAGTTTTCCCTTTGTGCATCTTATATTAACAAAACAATTGTCACGCTGCCCCAACTCGTGTCATGGTACGGCTGATGCCATTCATGCGGTTCAGGGTTGCTGCACTTGTTGCAACGCAACACTGCTGCTGCTGCCTTTGCTGCTGCTGCTGCCTTTGCTGCTGCTGCTGCTGCCTTTGCTGCTTTGCTTCTTTGCTGCTGCCTTTGCTGCTGCTGCTGCTGCCTTTGCTGCTTTGCTGCTTTGCTGCTGCCTTTGCTGCTGCTTTGCTGCTGCCTTTGCTGCTTTGCTGCTGCTGCTGCTGCTGCTGCCTTTGCTGCTTTGCTGCTGCTGCTTTGCTGCTGCCTTTGCTGCTTTGCTGCTGCTGCTTTTCTGCTGCCTTTGCTGCTTTGCTGCTGCTGCTTTGCTGCTGCGCTGCCTTTGCTGCTGCTTTGCTGCTGCCTTTGCTGCTGCTTTGCTGCTGCTGCTGCTGCTGCCTTTGCTGCTTTGCTGCTGCCTTTGCTGCTGCTGCTGCTGCTGCCTTTGCTGCTTTGCTGCTGCTGGTTTGCTGCTGCCTTTGCAGCTGCTTTGCTGCTGCCTTTGCTGCTTTGCTGCTGCTGCTTTGCTGCTGCTGCTTTGCTGCTGCCTTTGCTGCTGCTTTGCTGCTGCTGCTTTGCTGCTGCTTTGCTGCTGCTTTGCTGCTGCTTTGCTGCTTTGCTGCTGCTTTGCTGCTGCTTCTTTGCTGCTGCTTCTTCTGCTGCTGCTGCTGCTGCTTGGTAGCTGCTGCTGCTGCAGCTGCTGCTGCTGCTGCTTGGTAGCTGCTGCTGCTGCTGCTGCTGCTGCTGCTTGGTAGCTGCTGCTTGGTAGCTGCTGCTGCTGCTGCTGCTTGGTAGCTGCTGCTTGGTAGCTGCTGCTTGGTAGCTGCTTGGTAGCTGCTGCTGCTGCTGCTGCTGCTGCCTTTGCTGCTTTGCTGCTGCCTTTGCTGCTTTGCTGCTGCTGCTTTGCTGCTGCCTTTGCTGCTGCTTTGCTGCTGCTGCCTTTGCTGCTGCTGCCTTTGCTGCTTTGCTGCTTTGCTGCTGCCTGTGCTGCTGCTTTGCTGCTGCTGCTTTGCTGCTGCTGCTTTGCTGCTG